GCTCTGTGGGGATCCTGAGTGCTCTGGGGAGGGGAAAGACGTGAGGCAACCTCAGTGAGCCCAGGGCTGGAGCTGCATCCCACAGGACTGGGGGGTTGTTTGCTCTCACAGGGGGAACGTTGCATTTTTTTTACCTTCTTTCACTTCGATTTGCCATCATCCCAGTTTCATTCATCATTTACTTGCCTAATTAGGCCATTAGCTGCAGGGGAGCATCTCAGAATCCTGCTCCTGGGTCTGTCTTCCCTTGGGTCTTTTCTGAAGGGATATCACCCAGTTTGGGTGTCTCGGGGTCCTGCAGCAGGAAGCAGGACTGACCCCTACCCCTTGAGCCAAGGCCATTGTCACCCTCAAGCCCATGGAGGAAGCTCCAGAGCTTCACACAAACCACTCACCTTCATTTTCACCCCAAACATTTTACATCTGGAAAACACAAATGCCTTTTCCATCACTTACCCTGTCCAGTCCTGAGGACTCCAGGGAGGGGGATGCAGAGGTGGCAGCCTGGCCTGTTGCTTCCAAAACTGCATTTTTTATTTAACTTAAAAAAAAAAAAAGGAAAGTGAGAGAAATTCAGTGAGTGGCAAATGTTAGGGGCAGTTCCTGCCCCTTCAAACAGTGGCCAGCAAGGGTGCCTGTGAGGAGCACAGCTGTGAGTGTCCTTCTGCAGAACCTCCTGGATTGGGGGAGAAGAAATGGAGACTTGGGAGAGGGAGAGAGGGTGGCAGAACCAGCAACATTCAACTAAAATCTGGTTTTTATCATAGAATTGTAGAATGATTTGGGTTGGAAAGAACTGTTAAAGCTCATCTCATCCCACCCCCCTGCCATGGGCAGGGACACCTTCCACTAGCCCAGGTTGCTCCAAGCCCCATCCAACCTGGCCTTGGACACTTCCAGGGATGGGGCAGCCACAGCTTCTCTGGGCAACCTGTGCCAGTGTTTTACCCACCTTCATTGTAGAAAAACTTCTTCCTTATATATAACCTAAATCAACCTTCTTTTAGTTTAAGCCACCCCCCCTTGTCCTCTCACCGCAGGCCCTGATTAAAAGTCTGTCCCCCTCTTTGTTACAGCTCCCCATTCATGATGTAAAGAAATAGGCAGCTGCTTGGGGGGAGGCCTCTGGGCCAAGATACCCTTGGAGGGGGGATGTCCCAGGAAAAATGCAGTGTCCACACTTTTTAAGAGGGGGCTGTGGTGGGGTTGTGTCAGCAGGAGGCTTCTGCCTGAGTCCTCTGAGCCAGGGCTCAGGTTTCTGGTTTTTTCCTACTAATTTTCAGAAGCATTTGCAGCACGTGGCCCATATCCATAATTGCACTCCTGGACTTGTTCTGCTCTGATGCATAAATAACATGCACTGTAAAGAAAAAGTGTATGATTACATATTTAATGGATAAACGGAGCCGTTGTGGTCTATTGGCCACATAATAAAAGTTTCCAAAAAAAAATTGTCTTAATACAGTGTTTCCCCAGGAGACTGCCGTGGCTGAAACGTGAGGGAGCTATTTTAAATTTTAAACATTTTTTTGAGCCACGTTTCATAGCCTTCCCCATTTCTACAACACCCGTCTTCTAAACTTTTCCTTCATTTAAATTTAAAATAAGGACAATAAATTATTCTTTTCCTTAGCAGCTGGCAGATCCTCTCCAGCGTGAAAGGTCTGGATTAAGGTGACAAAACCCCAGACAGACTTACCTTTTCCACTGGAATTTGGGAAGCAGCTTGCTGCTCCTGCAGCAGAATGGTGCTGAGCTGTCTCCCCACATTTCATGCCCCTCATCACTGCCTGTCCCACCTTGGCCATTCCCAGGACTTTGGCAAATTCAATTGCAAGTGCAGGAATTGCCTCTCTGGAGCCTCCTGTGCTGCCCAAGCCCGGTGTCCATCCCCGTGGCTGCATCTCCCTCGATGTCTTTGTGACCAGGATTTCCCACACCGTGGCCAGGAGGGGCCAGAGCTCTGCAATAAGGCACATAATGAGGTTTTAAGGGCACATAAATCTTGCCAGAGGAAAGCCAGCCCTGCTGCCTCCTGGACACCACCAAAGCCAAGGGGAGCAATTCAGAGTGGCCTCTAAGTCAGCCTCAGCCAGGCTCCTCCAGCCTCAGCCAGGCTCCTCCTGCTGTTGAAATGCAAGACAACATTTAATTCTTGTGAGTTAAATCCCCTCACTTGGTAATTAATACAGAAAAAGGGCAGATCTAGGAAAACTTGTCCCCCTGACACCACTCCTCTGCTGATGGAGAATCCAAAAGAGAGCAAAACATGCTGTGGGGTGTTGTGTAAAGCTCTTGATTCCTGACCTGCAGCAGCAAATCTAGTTTTGCATTCGGATTTGTTTCCTCTGAAGCCTGCCGAGCCCTCACTGGTCTTCCCTGGGTTTCCTTCTGTGTGTGCTGCTAATGGAGTTGGCAAACCTCCCCTGGTAATGAGAGATCACACCTCAGCAGGCTTATCAGGAATGAAGATTGTTAATAAATAAAGCTCGGGTCTTTAAACTCGTGTTAACGTTAATCAGATTAACATGAAAGAGAAAAAGCCTGGAAAACAGTTCAGGCAGGGTTTGCCTCCCTCCCACTCCATGGCTGGAGGAGGCTGTGTGGGAGCTGGGCTCTGCCTGTGGCTCTGAGTTCTGCTGCTGGGGGGGACCAGGCAGGGATGGATCTTGGGGGGGAAATTGGGTTTTCATGGAAAATACTACAAACTGGAAATGGAGTCTTGGAGCAACAAACAGCAGGTTTGTCCCCATCTCATACTTGCTTCTTGGTAGGCAGGGGGTGGACACGCTGGAAGGAGTCCAGGAGAGGCCACAGAGATGCTCCCGGGACTGGAGCCCCTCTGCTCTGGAGCCAGGCTGGGAGAGCTGGGGGGGTTCACCTGGAGGAGAGAAGACTCCAGGGAGACCTGAGAGCCCCTTCCAGTGCTTAAAGTCCCTCCAGGAGAGCTGGAGAGGGACTGGGGACAAGGGATGGAGTGACAGGACAAGGGGAATGGCTCTAAGCTTAAAGAGGGCAGGGTTAGATGAGATTTAAGTTCTTCCCTGTGAGGGTGGGGGAGGCCCTGGCACAGGTTGCCCAGAGAAGCTGTGACTGCCTCTGGATCTCTTGAAGTGTCCAAGGCCAGGTTGGACGGGGCTTGGAGCAACCTGGGCTAGTGGAAGGTGTCCCTGCCCATGGCAGAGTTTGAAATGAGATGACCTTTAAGTTCCCTTCCCACCCAAACCAATCCAGGACTCTGTGATTGCTGCTGCTCCCTCCTGACCCAACCACTTGAACTTTGGTTTATGCCGTGGCACGGGGAATATACACTTCACAAGGTATTTTTATCATGTCTAATGCAGCATTCAGCATTCCTTATTAGACACATATATATATATATGTTTCATTTCTCCTTCCAATCTTTCAAGGGCAGTGGGCTCAGCAGCCTCAGGAGGAACACTTGTGCCTGCGGCCTGTGCCGTGTCCGTGTGTCCCTGCAGCTGTGTGTCATTAGTCACCTTTCAGTCCCATCAGATGTTCCCTCTCTCTCCCATTATGAGAACACATTAATGGGTATTAGGAAACTCCACATTTTTGGGGACAGCTCTGTCACGTGGCCTCTTCCCCTCGTCTCTTACCTCCACACGTGCACACACATACGTCGCTTCTGGCTCCTTCCTTCACTGGGAGATCTTAACAAGCAGCCCATAATGGGTTTTTTCCCTTGTCTGGACTCTTTTTTCCTTTATTTTATTTTCTACATTCATTTCGAGTGGGATTGGAACAGATTGTAATATTTAAAAATGGAAGAGTCATCTTGAGATGGAGGTGGTGACCACCAGCAGATCTTGCTTCCGCACCTTGGGGTCCAGTCCAGGGAGAGCTTGGACCCCCTTCCAGTCCCTAAGTGCCCCAAGAGAGCTGCACAAGGGCCAGGAGTGACAGGACAAAGGGGAATGGCTTTAACCTGAAAGAGGGCAGGGTTAGATGGGATATTGGGAAGAAATTCTTCCCTGGGAGGGTGGCGAGGCCCTGGCACAGGTTGCCCAGAGAAGTTGTGGCTGCCCCATTCCTGGAAGTGTCCAAAGTCAGGTTGGACAGGGTTTTAAGCAACCTAGTGTAGTGGGAAGTGTCCCTCCCCATGGTAGGGGGTGGAATGGGCTGATCTTTAACTTTCCTTCCAACCCAAACGATTTGATGATTCTGTGGTTCTGTGTTGTGATAGAAGCTTGGGGCTTCTGGAGCTTGGGGATGTACAAACCTCTGCTTTGAGGGTGGTGTCACAGCTTTGGGCAGATTGATGTGTTGGGAGCAGGGACCTGAGGCTCCCACTGATGGATTTTGTGCTTTCTTGTTCCTAGGTTTAACCCCAGTAGCACAAGTGACCCAACAGCCCTGCAGAGGGTGCAGGGGGGGTTGGTTGTGGTACCTTCAGATACTCAGACGAGCAGATATTTTTTTCATCTCTGCAGTTGCTAAATGTCAACACCAAGTATTGCTCAGAAAGACCATGTTTGGGATACACAGCTTCTGATGCTGCATTCCTGATGTACCAGGGCTTGTCCCCAGATACCCTGGCACAACATGTGCCTGTGCTCAGCCATGGCCTCACATCGCAGCAGCAAAGCTTGGCCCCAGAAATGCCCTGTAAACTGCAGTGCCATCCCTTCTCCTGGTGATGTGGCCAAAAATTGCTCACTTATGAACATTTTGGTTTTATATCCCTGGTAGATACCAGGCACCAGTGGTCCCTAAGGCAGGCAGGGGCACCTCCTGGGCACACAGACCTATGTACAGAGGTGATTTAGGACCTCTCTGCAATGCTCACGGGCAGGGGGATGGCAGGAGCTCTTGCTCTTGGTTTTTTTTTGGTAGGGGGAGCACGAGGAAGAATTTCTGCCAGCCACGGGGGACAATTTAAACAATAAATCCATCAGAGCTGGTCTTGAAGTGATTTGACTGTGTTATAAATCCACGAGTACCTTTTGTAATGACGAGGTGATCTTCTCCCCGCTCAGATCCAGGAGATGGTCCACTCGGACGCCGCGTCCTACGATTCCAACCGCCAAGTGCCCCTGCTCAACCGCCCCGGGATGCTGGCCGGCCCCATGAGCGCCCTCAGCCAGTCCCAGCTCATCTCTCAGATGGGGATGAGGAGTGGTGTCGCCCACGGCTCCCCCTCGCCCCCGGGAAGCAAGTCTGCTACACCATCTCCCTCCAGCTCCACTCAGGAAGAGGAGACGGAGTCACATTACAAGGTACGTGCCCTGTTTTATGGAGGGACGTTCTTCAGCGAGGGGTAAATCCTGCTAAATAGGCTTTTATTTTGAATATATAGAGCGGGAGACTTCCCCAAGGATGAAGTGACTTGTTTCCAGCCTAGGGTGAGGTGGGAGCTGGGCTTCTGCCTCCACGTTTTACCAGGTCCATCCAGCTGCAGAGTTTCTTCTTACGAGGATTTTGAGGAGCAAAGCAGGTTCAGGGCTGAGGGTCCTGCAAATGCTTGAGGCAAAATTAGATTTCTAGTGGTGGGTAGAGGAGACTAAAACAGGGAAGAAAAATATCCCATGGTGGGATTTAACTGAGCTCACCGGACGTGGCTTGCTAAGGTAAAAAAACCCAGAAATTAAAAGAGGAAGAGTCTTTTAGTTCACCCAGGTGGTGTTTTAAGTAGTCAGCAATGTCTCAAGTGGTCTCTACAGCCAACACAACTGCTGCTGAGCATGGCATGAACAAACCCAAGGAATTCCTAGGGTTTGGGGCACATCTTGGTTGTTGCTCATCTCTCTCAAAATGCACCAGGAGAGCAAACAACACGTGCTGTGCTCCAGGAGTCTGCAGCTGTTGTTTATTGAGGGCAAACTCCAACAATTGGTATGTTGCTGCCTCAATACCTGGTGTGTCTCTGTGCCTTTGATTAAAGCCTGTCATGGAAAACCCTCTCCTGGAAGGTGCTGACCGAAGGCACTGGGGTTGTAACCTTGTCCCACTAAAACTGACTGTTGTGACCAGGATTTGGATGTATAACCAGAGCAGCAAACAGTGAAGACACTGGAAAACTAGGAAAATGCTAGGACTGAGCAAAAACCTTTCCCTTTCTGTGGAAATCCAGGAAGATGGATTCCCATCAATCCTGTAGTTCTTTATCCATTGGCAGGTTTCACTTTAGACTGGGGCATTTCAAAGCAGAGAGCAAACGTGGATGCAAAAGCAGCTTCAGTGGAATACAGCTGTAAAAGGAAGGGATACACATGGTTAAAAATAGATGGAGTTTTTCAAACTCTCTGATTCCATGTCTGGGGTGCACTACAGGCTGGGTTATGCTGTTGGACCCCACAGTCTGCCATCTCCCAAAGCCTGTGTCACACAGCTCCAGGCAATGACCTGGGAGCTGAAATATTTCATATCAGCAGAAAATTAGTTTCAGCTTAGTGACACACCAGGTTCTCTCTCCGCCTCCATCAGCATCACCAAGCATTTCCTCCCAGCCAGCCAGGAGTCCCTGGAGCTTTGGGGTTGCATCTTCTGTTCTCTTGAGCCAGTGGTGCCCATGGGAGTAGGAAGAATTTGGAGATGTCCAAATTTGCAGAGATCAGGATTTTTCCTAATCCTTAAGGCAAGCCCCCTTGTTTTTTCTGCCTTGTAAACTCCCCATCAAGACAGCTGGGACAGGAGTGATGTGTTTGATGGAGGAGGAGCACCTAAATGTCAGGAAAGCAGCAGAGCTGTGTTGTGGCCTGCAGGTTTCTGTTTGCTTTCTCTGTCTGCACAGCTGCTGCATTCACCCACCAGTCATTTTTCATGTGGCCATTAAGGGCTCTTCTGCAACAGGTCATCAAAGCAACGTCTAACAAGCAGAAATTCATCTTGTGAGGAAGAAGGTCACACATTAAAGAAATGGGTCTGATGCCAGCAATTACTTCAGGTCCAGCAGGTCCTCTGAGCCAGGGACTTTATGATTTTAGGAGGTCTCCCAGCCCCACTGGTGCATCTGCTTGCTTCACTGCTTTGGGGTACCCATGCATGGGAAGGAGAGGTTGTTACAGCTCAAATTCCAGCTGGATTAGTGGTCGCCCTCCGTAGTTATTAAAATCACAGTGTCCATGGGGTTCCAGCTCTTCATGGGCTCAACATCTAAGAAGGCACCAAGGTTATGGGATCATATCTGTCACCAGGGAATTGCCCCACATCTGTCCACATCTGGTGTCAAACAGACCTGCTGCTGCCTCTCCAGGGCAAGTCCATACACTTCATCCTGCTGCCCAAGCCTCCAAGGGTCATCCCCAAGGGGATGCTCTGGGACCAGAAGGCTCTGCCTCTTTGGGGTTTGGCTTTAGCCACGAATATGGCTTAGGTTGTTCAAGCATTTTTTAAGGTCCAGGGCCAGGCTGCTGTCTCATCCCAGCTGCATCACAGCTGGAAAACCCTATGAAAACCAGGCAAAGTCCTGATCTGCCCTGCTCCCTCCTGGGCACTGACAGCTCCTGGCAGCCTCACAGCATCTGTTTTCCGTAAATCCCACGTGCTCTTTGGTGCTGCCTGAGCAGGACTGGCTATAAACCTGCCTGGGGTTGTGTTGGTCCTGTTCCAGCTCCTGGGCTTGGTCGGTGGCTGTGAGGGAGGAGGTTCCCCTGTAGCATTTCAGTGAATCAAACGGGATCACAGTTATTTAAAATACCATCTCACTTCCTAATGGGCTGAAACCCTGTCATGCTTTTTTTTTTTCATCCTAATAAGCTGGCCTTTCACCTCCAGGCCTCCCATTCAAGCCCAATTGGGCAATTTTAAATTAAATGCAATTTTTTTGAGCTCACTGCTCGTTCACTAATGGTCACTGTCTGTTTGACAAATGTCACTGCACTGATACTGAAATTAATGGCCAGTCAAGAGCTGCTGAGCGGGGAACAGGAGCACTGCTGCCCTTTCCTCCCCATGCCTGCCCTGTGCCAGCTAAAGAGAAGCCTCTTAAATCCTGGCGCTGCCCAGTACGTGGTTAAATCAACAAATCCATCAGGAGCAGAGGCTGTTTACTCCCAGCTCAGCGGGAGGAAGTGTGTTAACAACATCTTGATGTTTAGACCTGTGTCTTTTTAAGAGATACAACAACCTGTGCAGCTGGTGGAGCAGGGACTGACACAGTTGGGTACTGGCTGAGCACTCAGTGCTTGAGCTCAGGGTCTGCAGGTGGAGGGGCTGGTGCCCCATTTGCCCTCCTGGGTGCAGAGATCCAGCCTGCAGCAGGCAGTGGTTTTATTCTCTGCCGTGTTTAACCTCCAGTATTTAGTTTTTCCTTCACTGTAGAATAAGGATAATGGTGCTTTCCTGTAGCGTGAGCTTTCACTGACCACACGTAATGTGTTAAGAGCTTTGATAGATGTCCATGTGCTTTCTAGGGGTGTGTTCCTTCTCACACCCTCACATGGAGACTTCTGCACTCCCTTATATTCATAGAATTGTGGAATATCCTGAGCTGGAAGGGACCCACAGGGATCATCCAGTGCAGCTCCTGGCCCTGCCCAGGGCACCCCAGCAATCCCCCCCTGTCCCTCAGAGTGTTGTCCAAACCCTCCTGGAGCTCTGGCAGCCTTGGGGCTGTGCCCACTGCCCTGGGGAGCCTGGTCAGTGCCAACCACCCTCTGGGGGAAGAACCTTTTCCTAACACATTGCACAGGTATCCTCACAGAGGCCGATGCAGGATCTTCTTTCTGTGCTACCTTCACTGGAAGCATCCCTGTTTCCTGACCTGCTATTCTACTTCCCAGCCCAGTGGCAGCATCTTGTGCTGAGCAGCCACAAAGTCCAGCTCCTGTTGCCTTTGTCCTTCTCCCCTTGGTTCCAACACCCTCAGGGCACTGAGCATGGGTACAGCCAGACCTGGTCATCCAACTGCACCCAGATGGGTTGTAAAGAGTGAACAGCACATGCAAAGCATTTAATTCATAAGATTAAAACAGTTCCATTCCTGGATATTTTTTCCTGGGAAGGGGTATGTATGTGTTAGCAGAGTGAAGCAAATTTTGGATGGCCCCAGTGTGATGGTTAATGTGATGCTGGTGCTGCTTGGTCAGTGCTCACAATCCTCCTGGGAATGGGGACACTGAGCCACTGGCACACACGTGGATAAGGGAAATCAGGAGCAGCTTGCAAAGGGGGCTTATTGGGGTGGAAATCAGAAACCTTTTGGAAGCCAACTTTGGAAAAATTCATAGCCTGGTAAAGGGATATGGCTGGGAAGCAAAGCATGTGGAGAGGTCCCAGAAAAGTATCAAGGAGTGAGGGAGCTTGTGGTGCCAGGGAGGAGGAGGGGGAAGGAGGGTGACCAAGGGTGAGTGCCTGGACAGCCCTACTCTTGGAGCAGGTGCAAAGGGATGAACCCAGGCTGTGAGCTGGTCTGAGTGGAGTCACCAAGCCAGGCTCAGGCACCCACCAGCAGTTTGTGTAATGATCCAAGAGGCTCCTGGGGCCAAAGAGACCCCGAGGGCTGCTGCCCCCCTCTCTCCATGCTGGGATCCCTCCCCTTGCCATTTCCCCCCTCATCTCCTTGGCTGTAACAGGGACTTGTACCTGACCACTCCCAGTTGACTGCTATGGTTCCTCTCATGGTTTTGCAGGCTACTGGAGAGAAAAGACCATCAACAGACCTGGGCAAGAAGCCCAAGAGCCAAAAGAAGAAGAAAAAGAAGGACCCCAATGAGCCCCAGAAGCCCGTGTCAGCCTACGCCCTGTTTTTCAGAGACACACAGGCAGCCATCAAAGGGCAAAACCCCAATGCCACCTTTGGAGACGTGTCCAAAATCGTGGCATCCATGTGGGACAGTTTGGGAGAAGAACAAAAACAGGTGAGTGACTGATTTATTTACTTTTATTTTTTTCTTTCAGCTGTTGAAATGTGTTTTTTCCATGGCACAGAGCATCTCCCCAGGCACGTTCAGAGCATGGCCAGGCTGGAGTGTGTGGTCAGGAACAGAGGCTGTGGTCAGGAGCAGTGCTGAAGTGCCAACTGTGAAAAATTGCTGGTGTTGCATTGGGAAGAGCAAATTTTTATGACAACTAATTATTCTTGATAAGTTCATACTCTGCAAAACCATCAATGGCCTTTCCCTGACCTGAAGTTTTACAGCCTTAGATGAGAGATGGGTTTGTGTTTGCTTATTTACTTACAAGGAGTGACAGTAAACTGGCTAAACACTGTTAACTCCCTATATTGCTGCCTTCAAATCCAACAGTCAGGCTTTAAAACCTTGGGAAGGAGATGTCTGGAGTGGCCTCACAGAGGAAACCTTCCTGCCCCAAAGCTGTCAGCCACTCTCTGTTTGCTTCACAGGGAGAACTCTGTGTCCTGCTTTCACTGTTTTGTTGCTGCTGAGTCTGTTACAAAAGCCTGTAATTGCTTGTTGCCTATTGAGAGAACCCCAGGGAACACTTCCTGTAGCAAGGATGGCTTTTTATCAAGCAGAGTGAGATCTGACACTGTGAGATGTGTCCTGGATCCAAACAGGCTTTGTCTGGGAGCCCTTCTCCTAGAGCCTGGCTGCCAGCTCCTGATGGGTGTCCATGGCCAGCATTGGAAGCACCTATGTCTGGAGAAGGAGCAGCAGGGAGGAAAAAAGCCATTAAGCTGGAATTCATGCTAGGAAATAGCCTTGCTTTCCACCCCACACCATGTTGGGAATACGAGCAAGGCATCTTCTGGGATGGCAGCCCTTCTGCTGCTCCATTTGGAGCCTCCATTCTGTGCAAAGTGGTGCTCTGATGTTCTCGTGATCCTGCCTTTTCTCCTCTTTGGCTGGATCCCTGGTGGGTCATGCAGGCAGGAGTTCCTCACGCTGAAGAGGGGAGGAAGGTCCCTGCTTGTGCAGCAGGGTGACCCCAGCCCCAGGCAGCTGCTGGGCAGGGGCTGGGTTTGGGCTGTTGGGGCAGGGTGTGGAGGTTCAGGAGCGTGGACAAGCTTTCTGTCACCTCTTTCTCCTGCTTTCACCCCTCCCAAACTCTCGTTCTGCCTCTGCCTTGCTCTGCCTGGTTACCAACGTCTCCGTAGTTTGGGCACTGAGCTGGGCTGCAACTGTGGCTCAGAGAATGGAAGCACTGGTGCGACCCTGACTCAGCTCAGTGCAAATGCTCAGCTCTTAATTAACAGCAGGGATTAAACCGGCCCGTTTATCTTCCCTGCTAACTCTCCCTCCTTCTCTTTTATGAGCTTGCAGCAGCCTTGCCGTCTCTTTACACACGCTTTCTAAGTGGCTCCATTTCTCCCTCTGTAATTGATTTAATTAAGTCATTTGTTCCTTGTCTGAATGCTTAAATATTAACTTCCTGGCTTTGTCTCCAGCTGGATACTTCTCTCCCACAACAGTTACCTCCCTGCCCGGGACTCTGGCTGGAGGGACTCTATTTATCTTTGGCTCTGGGACTGTGTGGCTGATTTGTGCAGTGTGGCACGTTCACTCTTGAAGTGTCTGGCTGCAGGAGAGTTTATTTAGTCCCTGTTTGCTTTCCTCCACCAGCATCCCCAGACAAGTTGTGGTTTGTTTTGTTTTTTTTTAGATTCACAAGGCAATGCAATGGAAAGGGAAAAAGGAAGAGAAAATTTAAAAAGCGTTAACAAAATGTCTTTAATATGTGAACAGAAGTGCCTGGGTTGTGCTGTAGATCTTTCCTGCCCAGGGCTCCAGGATAGGGTGCACACATTCCCAAGGAAGGCAGGCAGCCCATGCTGAGAGCTCTCCTGGCACATCTGGAGAGGGGACAGGGATGGAGCAAGACAGCCACGTGCCACTGGCCAAAATCCTGCAGGGAGCTGGGAGTCCAGATTCCCACATGGCTGTGCCAAATCATGGCTCAGCTCATTGCCAGGCAGGAGCATCATGCTCTGGGAAGGAGCAGGAATCAGGAAAAGGGAAGGGTTTCATCTGGGACACTGCTCTTAGCTTTGTTGACAGCAGTGGCTTCACGTGCTCACTGCAGAGAGCAGTGCAGAGGACAGGCTGGGGAACAGCCAGGACAGGGATGGCACAGCAGGCAAGCAAGAGCCAAATCTGGGCGTTCTACCTCAGTTATGACCAAGGCTTTAGTTCAAGAACACTTCCCCTCTTCCTCACATGAGAAAAGAGGGTGGATTTGAGGCTGTAGGATCCATCTGGAGCTTGTCCCACACTTGGATCTCTCGCGGCCCCCAAGATGCTCATGGTGGGGCTGGGGCATCCCATCTCCAGAGGGGCAACATGCAGACCCCAGCCCCACCAGGGATTATTACCAGTTGTTTCCATCTCTGCAATTTCTGCTTCAGATGACTTTTACAAACCTTGTTCTTCACTTTCCAATGGGCCCAGAGTTTCCTCAATCCTGGACGTGTTTTAGTTCCTGCCTTGTGGGAGAGCAGCAGGCAGGGAGCAACAAGGGAGGGGCTTCAAGGGAAGCTGGTCCATAAACCCACCTGCAGCTAAGGTGTTTGGGGCTTGTGATTCCCCTGGCACGTGTCCTGCTATCCCTGCACTGTGTCCATCAATCATCCCATCACTGGGGTTGCACAGAGGTGGAGTTGCCACCATGCCAGTGCCAAAGGGATGAGGAAAGCCCAGTGCTGATGGCTTGTAGCCACGCTAGCCAGTGCCCTGGACTGGGGTAGATTGCTCTGTGCCCCCTCCAGAACCTCAACCCCTCTCCAAGGATGCTACATGGAGCATTTCTACCATCAGCAGTGAGATGCCACCCCTTTGCCAGGTAGCCCTGCCCAGCACACAGAGGGTTAATCCTCTGCCATTTGTGCTGCTAATGATTATATGCACTGTAATATCAAAGCTGTAGCTATTTATTTGCCATTGAGCAGGTGCTGCTGCTCCCACAAAGCAAATTTGCTTTCTCCTCCTGATGAAACAAGCAAAATAAAGGTTGCTCACGTCCCATTTCAGATATGTTTTTTTTTTCCCTGTGCACCAGCTGAAAGACAAACACAGAGAGGGAACCAGAATGCATATTATGCAAGAAACCATATAATCTAGGAGCATCTTTGATTTGGCTGCTGCTGTCACAGACATGCATTTCACAGAGAGGCTTTCCCCCCCCCCTTTCCTTTTGTTCTTACTGGTTTATCATTTGTGCCTTTGTCATTTTGTTCCTTCTTCTCAGCCTCTTCACAATGAATCTTCATTTTCCCTCTGACACACTTGTATCTAAATTTCCTTATTTCCTGCCTTTTTTTATTTATATCTGTTGCCTGGTGATTTGATCATGCTGTGGAATACAGGATTAGCAATCTCCGTGTCCTTGGGTACTGCTCAAGGACACCTGTTCTGCAAAGCTCCGTTTTCTTCCCCATTTTAACCCCTTCCAGCGTGTGGAACAGTAATAAATAACAATACCTTGAAATATCTCCAGCTCTGCGTTGGCAGGACATTGTAATCTTCATTCTTCAACAGCTGGCGTGGCCCTTTCTAAGAAGCTTACACGGGAATCTGAAGAATGTGACTCGGGGAAAAAAAAATATTAATACATCCTCTTTGAACTTTGCAAATAGTTTAGCAGCTGTTCCTGCAGAGATAGCTTAGACTCTGCTGGAGAGGGAAATGCTAATTCAGACATTAGCATCAAATGGGGTACCTGTCCTAGGAATCTGCCTGCAGCTCCCGGTCCTAGCTCCAGGCTCCCAGAATCCTGTGCCTCCTGTACTGGGAGTTCTTTTCATTAGCAGATCTCAACGCAGCAAGGTTTGAAAGGGCTGCCTGATTTGACAGAAATTAGAGGAATTTGAGGACTGTATTGGAGAAAACTCTGCTATTTCACTAGGAAGGATTTTTCCCTGGCACGGGTGGAATGCTGGCAGGCTGGTCCCAGTCCTTGCCACCCTCAGCCCCCTCATCTCCTTCCACAGGGCCACCAGCAGTGCCATCTCTGCTCAAGAGCTGGTGACACCAGCCCTGGTGGCTGTCCTCCCTCAGGGGGATTTCCTGTGGGTGATAAGCCTGGAAACTCTCTGGAGTGTATTGAGGAGTCACTGGTGGGATTCGCTCTTCTCTGCCGTGTTCTTATTCCCTTTCTGGGCATCTTCCCGTTGTAGGAGAAGGGACTTTGGGTTGGAAACTGGTAATGTTGGAGCATGGGATATGCTGCCAAGGTGGCATTTGCAGATGTCTCTGGAACCTGCTTCTTTTGATCAGGAAATCCATCCATAAAGTCAAAGCATTGGTCAGTGTTTCCCTTAAACCTTGGAAACTCAGGGCAGAGGAATCAGGGAACTCCAGAGCAACCTGCTGAGTGAACCCCAGGCTAACCCAGGACTTCCCATCCAAAATGAGCAGAAGTTGGACAAAACCAACATTTCCAGTTGAGTTTATGAGTTTGGAGACTCGCTGGGGACACGAAGGTACTGGGGATGGCAATAGCCCTGCTTCACCAGGACCAGTTCAGTAAGGCCAGGTCACTCAGTAGCCAAATGCATATGGGATTTTCCCAAACAAATGCACAGCCTAGAGAACTACACAGCTCCAGGGGAAAAGTCACACTGCAGGGGTAAATTACCCAGCAGAAAAATTGCTCACTCAGCAGAAAATAATAGATCACCCATTTAATCAGATCCATCTGCTCACTGAACCTGATACCTCACACGGTGACAGGGCACTGCAGGTTTCTGTGGTGGGACAGAGGCATCTCGGGCCAACTGTAAAGGTGTTTTTATGGAAGAGCCATCAGAGGGGAGAGATCCCATGGGAATGGCATGCAGCAGGTGCTGCACACTGGCCAATTCCAGCACTGGAGTCAGTGCTGTCAGTGCTGGAGCCACCGTGGGTTGCAGTTTCCTCCTGCAGCCCCAGAGCCCTGGCAGTGAGGGGCTGAAGGGTCCAAGCAGTCACTCTGGCCTGAAAGGAGGTTTCAGCATCTTCTGAGCATCAAGGAAAGCTGGAGAAGCATCAAAGCACCAATCCCAAACAAGGTTTCAAGAGAGGTGTGGTGGAGGGCGGGATAATGATAGGGAGGATGCGAAGGGTCAGATCTGTGACTGCTCTTCTTGGAGAGCAGGATCAGAAGTGTGGAAAGATGAGTGTTGTGTGCTTTTCATTGGAGGTTAGGGGTTGGATCTGTGAGCCTCCTCCTCTGTTTCCTTTGGAGTCTTCCATGGGCTGCCCTGGGAACTCTGTTGGTGCCCTCACATGGAGTGATAGGTGACTTACACCCTGGTGGCACCATGAAGTCAAGGCAGAGGAAGGCAGGAACCTTTCAGGATGCTTTAACCATTGGTATTGCTGCTTGATTACAGGTCCATCCATTCATTGTCCAAAGGACTGCTTCACAGCACCATGTCTCTGCCAGGATAATGGGAAAGCTCTCCTGAAACCGTGCAAATAGTTCCCATAGCCAGGGCCTTTTCAGGGGGTGTGACTGACCCCAGTAGTGACTTTCAAGTCATCCTGTTAATAAGCCATAAGTTATGGTGATCCCAAGACATATATTGCAGGAAAGTGTATAATAGTGACAAGAAAAAACCCTCCAGATTTACAACCAGAATAAAACCCAAATTTATACATTTGGGAGAAAAAAAAACCTCAGTCATGGAATCATAGAAAGGAGAGCAAGGAGGGACTTAAGAGGTCAACCAGACCATACTGCTGCCTGAAGTCAGGATCATCTCTACTTAAGCCATTCCTGATGGATGTGTGCCTAATCTGTTCTTAAACCCTCAGTGGTGGAGATTACACATCTCCCCAGGCAATCTCTTCCCGTGCTTAATTATCCTTACTTTCCAGTGCTTAGCCAACATTTCCCTTGTTACAATTTAAGCCTATTGCCCCTTTTCCTAGATGGGCAGGATCACTCGGTGCCTCCTTTGCTGCGTTGTGTGTTTGGACACGTGGCTACTCTTGGCCTTCCCTCCCAGCTTTCCTCCCAGAGACCTTCCCTGCACTCTCCATCTCCTCTCTCCTGACAACCTGCCTCTTTTTTGGAGCAAACTCCACCTGGGATTGGAGCAGAGAGACCTTTCCGCTGGACATCAGCGCACCCCTTGATGCTTTGGGGGAGACTTTGGAGTTCTTTCCATCCTTCCCCAGGCCTGGGAAGCAGCATTCCTGCTGGAGCAGGCGGGCTGGGACGCAGGGGTTGCCGATAACAGCTCCGGCTGTCACTCAGTGCCTGCGTGACACGGAGCCGTTCGTGGGCGTCAGCGGGGTTTGGAATAATTGTCTTCTCTAATTAACTGGTTATCAAACAAGAACATTTCATTACGGTACAATTACTGGCTGCTTTGCTGAGACACAGGGGTGTCAGGATTACGATCCCAACATATGCTTCTTACAGCTCTGATTTTTTGTTTTCATAATCACTAACCGTTTTTGCTTCCTCCCCCCACCCCCCCTTTCCCCAACCCACCCACTCACTTAATGACTAATGAATCCTCCTGCTAATGAATAAGGAAAATAAATCAGTGGGCATGGCAGGTTAGAAAGAAAAACATGCAAAATGTTTTGAGGATCCTTAAATCTGATAAATTACTTTGAAATTAAAATCCCTGGGAGAAAATGGGATTTAATTAGAAAGTAACATGGTTTTGTCAATGTTTAAATTAAAATTTTAAAGGTTATAAATGAGGCACTAGAGCTGCCTTTACACAGAGGATTCGTGGGAAGTTTTGTTCGGAGCTGCTCTTCCCACGTCAGCGTGGCAATTCCCCAGGGATGGGCAGCTGGGGGTCCTGGGAGGAGCACTGTGTGGGTGCAGAAAGCCCCCATGGCAGGGGCAGGACTGCAGAATTCTCATCAGGAGACCTTTAGGGGCGGTTCTTTACAGTGAGGGTGGGGAGGCCCTGGCACAGGTTGCCCAGAGAAGCTGTGGCTGCCCCATCCCTGGAAGTGTCCAAGGCCAGGTTGGA